CCCCCCCCAGCACCTCCAAGATGCCCACCATGACCCCACAAGCTTCCCACACTCCTCAGCACATCCACAGAGCTCCCTCAGTCCCCAGGGGTGACAACCCCATCACTTGGCATCCCTCAGCACAGAAGAGAGCCTCCTCTCCAGCAATGCACACCACATATGGGCTCCCCCATCCTCTGCAGCTGGTGACACCCCCTGGTTAGCAGCTTCCTGCTAATAAGTTGTGCTAGCATAAGATCTGGGAGAAAGGCTGCCTCCAGCCTTGGAAAATGCCCTTTCCTGATCTGACAAGGTCGATGGTGGCCCTGAGAGGCTGATTATCACCTCCAGGACCAGAACACAGAGGGACCTCGCGCTGTGCAAACAAGGGCTTGTTTTATTAACCTGCAAAGTGTGCCAAAGGGCTCACTCAGCCGGCTCGACGCTGGGCTAGAGTGTGCACGCTGCGACGGGTCTGCTCTGCTAAATGCACTTCCCTGGACACCGTGCCTGAGCTACCCCAACTTGTGGTGGAGCCACCAGCTGGGCAGAGCATCTCTGTGCACCCCAGAGCCCTTGTTTGCACCCACAGGACCTCCGGAGCCCAAATCCTCACCTGCCAAGGCAAGTCTGAGCTCTCTGACCACAAACTCCAGCCTCAAACCCCACCCAAGATTGGCAGGGAGCAGGAGTGGGGAGCAGCTGATGGGTTCAGTGACCGACAGACCCCAGGGGGACTGAAGAGCTCTGCCACCCCGGGGAGCTTGCGTTATGCCTAGCACAGGTGGAGGGGGCCATCTGGCAAAGAAAGGGAAGTGCAACCCCAGGAAGGGAGGCTGGAAGCAAAACCTCCAGGTGCGGTGGGAGGAAGCACAGCAGTCATGGGATGAAGAAGGAGGAGAGGGGAAATGCGAGATCAGAGCTTGAGGAACAAGGCAGCCTTCATATGCAGTCAAAGCAATGGCTGAACGGGCACTGCGGCCTTGAGCTAAACCCCAGGACCAGAACAGCGCCAGGGACGGGATGGGCTTGCTCGGAAGCCCAAGGAGGGGATGTTAGGCAGCACACCAAGGGAGATGTGCTCTGCAGCCTGGGAAGTGGGGGGAGGCAGCCTTGCTGGGGGCTCCAGGGAAAGCTAAAAGGGGGACGAGCAGGCAGGCTGGGCTGGCTGTGGACCACCAAACAGAGCGGCGAAGTAAACCAAGGCTACTTTAGCCCACAGGCACCTGAAAACCAGAAGCGGTGGAGTTGCACTAGAAGCACCTGCCAAGCTCTGGAGCCTGCCTGCTCATGCAGGGCTGGGGGCAGGCAGCCCAGCCTGTGGGGCAAGAGCAAGCTATCCCCATAGGGAGGCGAGAGGGGAAGCACGGCAGCAGCCACAGGAGTACTCTAAAGGCCTGAAGTCAGCAAGGTGAAAGCATGGGGATGACTAAGCACCACGTAGAACTGAAGGGAAAAAAAAATGAGACAGGCTCCAGTGTAAAATGAGTGCTAGTTAGTCCAGGACGTGAAAAGGCAACAAGCAAAGGCTCCATAAATATGTTAGCAGGAAACAATGGGGAATGTCAGTCTGGTCCTTATCGACCGAGGAAACAAAAGCCAGCCAAGCTGGCTGGAGCAGCTAATGCGGGCTTTGTTCCAGCCATTGTAAAAATGCTCGTGGTCACCAGACAGGGCACAGACCATGTTTGAAGTGTTTAAACGAGGGTGCAGGAGCACAGGGAGGGAAAGGCCATACTGTGATGGAGAGGTTCAACAATCGGATAGATAAAGCAGTTGCATCCATATTGCTAAAGGCGTGCTGCAACTCTCTCTTCACATGCTTAATGCTCCTGCAGTCCCTGAAAAGTTGGCAGTTTTCTCTGAGACAGAGGATAAAGGAGGTCTCGGAGACCCGAGGAAGGGCAATTCTGGCAACTATCTTCAAAAACAGAGAAGGGAGACTCCAGAATTAGACTGCTCGCTCCCATTCCCTAAAGCAGACCGGGTTTGTGAGTGATTAGGTGATAACCCTCCAAAGGATATCAGGGTCATTAAATAGATGGTGCAGATCTGTTAAGGCCTGATTATGTTAAGCCAATCTGGTTCCCTTCGCTGACCTGATATGGTATGACTGCTATGTCAGATAAGGGAGAAGCAGTGGATATGATGTGCCTTGGCCACGGTGAGGATTTCAACATGCTCTCACATGACACGCTCAAGCAGACTGAGAAAATACGGTCTAGATGAAACTGTGGCAATTGCACAATGGGCTGCAAAGCTGCACTCCAAAGATAATTAGCAATACCTGGCTGTTACAATAAAAGCCATTTAAATAATCGCCTGCGGGGGTCTGCCCTGACCCCTACTCCATTTAATGTTGTCATTAAGGTGGACGACGGGGGGGCCTGGGGTTCCGACTCATTCTGATCAGGCAGAGAAGCAGTCCAAAGTCAGCCAGACAAAATTC